TTTAACATAATAATATGGTAATGATGTTAATGTTTTGATGCATGTCGCAAAGTAGCGCGCGTGTATTACAAGCAGTGCCTAGGTTATAAACGAGATCCATTCCTGTGTCTTTAAGTCTTTAAGTCGAATTTGTAGGCAAGTCCGAACAGGTGCCTGTGGTTCTTATTTAGCTTTACTTTAGTTGAAGGAAAAGGCTTTTGAAGCGTTTCAGTCATTTAAAAGCTGCACAGGCAACAAATGAAGGTGATTTTGATGAAGAATTTGTTTTTGAGTAGGGGTTGGTTCAGTCGTTTCAAAGTGAGGGCAAATTTACATAACATGAAAGGGCAAGTATGAGTTGTCCGTAAATCGAATCCAGCGTTCATAACTCAGGGACTACCTGTATTTCGAACCATTGGATGTACCTTGAATTTTTAATATAATAGGCTTTCCGGGGTTGATTCCGGTTGTACGGATGTTTGTAACTTGGAGACACCTGTATATGTTCTTTTCAGTGATGCAGGAAGTGTCTGGTGCTCCACACCTTTGACAATACTGTAACCTGTTAAAACTCTTAATCTCTGGTAGTCTGTTGTAAGAAAATGGAATAAAGCTATAGTTTTGATTTGCGTTTCTTTAATTATGAGTAAGGTTAAAATCCTTACACATGATTATAAATGGGCGTCATTTGTCACCTTAGACCCTCTTTTGTGACAGTAATATCTTGATTTTAGATTTTTTTTTTTTTTTAATTAAAACAGGGCATAGTTTTGGCATTGTTTTAGTTCAGTGAAAACATTGCTGGATATTAGTATTCTCTGTACTTTCAGTGGAAACCCTGGTGGCATAGTGGTTAAGAGTTTGGCTGCTAACCAAAAGGCCGGCAGTTCAAATCCACCAGGTGCCCCTTGGAAACCTTGTTGGGGCAGTTCTGCTCTGTCCTACAGGAATTGACTTGACGGTAGTGGGTTATGGGTACTTTCAATGTGTGAGAAGGACTTGGAAAATGATTAGGGAAAGCACAGCCAGTTTTACTTCCAAATTCATGAATTCATATTTTCCTCGTTTTCTTGATATAGAATGATTGGGAATTACGGTGATTTGTTTTCATTTTTGGTGGAGGTGGCGTTTGGGGTAATTGACAGAGAGAAGCCAGTAGAAGGCTACTTAAAACTGCTGCTTGAACGGAGTGAAAGAACTGTGAATGGTTTAATACGTGAGTACTTTGCTAATGGAATCCATTTAGGCACTCATGTGACAAGGTGTTGATTGTAGCGTCCTTTGACATAAGGGTGATTTAATGAGAATAGCCTTGTCTTTGGGGTTAGGAAGTCTGCCTTGCTACTCTAAATGTGCCCCATCACACCTCTGTACCTCAGTAGCCATTGGAAAGTTTATGTTCTCTCCCCCATTGAGGTCAAATATTGTTCCTCATCTGAGTATTCAGATTTATCTCTGCTTTTGTTGCAGCATCTGTGTGGAGAAGGAAGAGATTGGGTATCACGCCCTAATTTTACATCTGATAAAACCTGGTTTGTTTTTTTAGGTCTCCTCAAACTAAAGTTAAAAAAAAGGGAGGAGGGAATGAGTAATCATGAATAATCTCACCTGTTGTGAGTTTGAATTTATTATTTTTAATGAACGTATAAATGACTGTTTAAATACATTTAACTCAAGTCTTAATATCTTAGTGAAACTCATCACTTTTTGTCTCCTGCAATGTTAAGCATAATGCCTTGCGCACAAGAAGTATCCAGAAAGTATTTATTGATGAACGAGTGGGGAGTTTCTTTTGAGACGGTTAGATCAGGTACATGCTGAGTATATTGTCGGCAAATAATGAACATTATTAAATCATTCCGCTGAAAATGTACTCATTCTCTCCAGTTGTGCATTCTCATTTTGACTTCCAGTTGTGATTACTTTATAACCAAGTTAAATTTAATGATGATATTTGGCTAATAACTACAATCCCATCCGATTCACACGGATCTATTTCTACTTTATATATAGGAATTCTCAACTTTTTTTTTTTTTTTTGCGCCTTGAGAAATATAAATAATGCTGTCTTAAAAAAAAAGAATTCAAAGTTATGGCAAAAGAAACAAAAAAAGCTGAACTGGTTTCTGTTGCTGGTTAAGTTTAATGACTGCTGCGTGAAAATTGACTCGCTGGCTCACAACCTAAAAATTATGTGTGAAGGTTGAAATACTCTCTTACTCCCACTAGAGGGGGGATTCCTTCCAATTTAGGTAAAAATACTCCAAGATCCAACATGAAAACTGTGTTAAGACATTGATCTGTTCTTAATATTAAACTGAAGTCAATTGCATGTTTCTGAAGTCTGCTGTTTTTCTGCAGGTATTGAAAGTAAAATCTTACAGAAAGAATATAAAGGATACTGATAGTGTGCATAGGTACTTAAGACAGTGCTTTTGAACAAAACAAATATTTTTTAAAGTTTGTTCGAAATGTAATACCTAAGAATTTCAAAACACCTCTCTGAACCTCACTTGAGGTAGAATTTGGGTAAAGGATGAGGGTGAGGATGATATGTTGAGAACCACCTCCTTCCTCCCGTCTCTATGTGATAGTCACACTGTTGTGGTTAGGTGCCATCAAGTCAGTTCCAACCCATAGTGACCTCATGTCAACAGAACAAAACACTGCCAGGTCCTGCGCCATCCTTACAATTGTTGCTGTGTTCGAGCCCACTGTTGCAGCCACTGTGTCAATCCATCTCGTTGAGGACCTTCCTCTTTTTTGCTGACCCTCCACTTTACCAAGCATGATGTCCTTCCCCAGGGACTGGTCCCTCCAGATAACATGTCCAAAGTATGTGAGACATAGTTTTGCCATCCTTGCTTCTAAGGAGCATTCTGGCTGTGCTTCTTCCAGTCAGATTGGTTCATTCTTCTGGCAGTCCATGGTATATTCAGTATTCTTTGCCAACACCTTAATTCGAAGGCATCAGTTCTTCTTTGGTCTTCCTTATACATCTTCCAACTTTCACATGCATATAAGATGACTGAAAATACCATGACTTGGGTCAGGTACACCTTAGTCCTCAGAGTGACATCTTTGCTTTTTAGCACCTTGAAGAGGTCTTTTGCAGCACATTTGCCCCGTGCAGGGCGTCATTTGGTTTCTTGACTGCTGTTTCCATAGGCATTGATTGTGGACCTAAGTAAAATGAAATCTTTGACAACATCAGTCTTTTCTGTGTTTATCATGTGGTTGCTTATTGGTCCAGTTGGGAGTGATTCCTAAATTTCTCAGGAGGGCTTTGGCTTGCTGTCTTCTTGTGTTGTCAAATATATTAAAACAATATCTTTAAATAGATTTCTATTTGCTATGGAATTTTCTGGGTTCTTTGACTTTTTATAATGTTAAGTGAATGCAGAACTAACTCTGGCAGTGATTTCTGCAGATTAAAACTTTCATATATATGGAAAATAATAGAGGTGCAAGTACATAAGACTGAGGTGTGCAGATGTGCTCTATGTGTCTAATTAAACACCAGATATCATGAAGTGGTCACAGTAGTTAAGAGTCAGCAAATGTATTGTTTGTGCTTTCCCTTTAACTAGCAATCTTGATTAGAGGTTTTAATGTAAAAAATATTGAGGTCGGTAACCTAGTGTTGTGAAGTTCAAACATATGTAAAACACCTTCTTTTTTCTTTAAACTAAAAGTCTATAATAAGACCCTGTTTCTAAATCTGACAGTTAACTTTGGACAATGAAGTGTACGCAGAAGTGCTGTCCGTCAATTGTAGTAGCAATTTTCTGCTCCAGTTGAGCCAACATTTCAGTCTTTAACCTAAAACCACGTTTGGTGTTTCATCAGGAGGAGGCAGCTCCTCTTTTCCATCCCTCGTCTCGCCCTCCTGCTTTGCCCGGTCTCTCTGGGATACCAGGCGGTGGTGGCGCATCTGAGTCTCAGGAAAGCAGTTGGAGGACACAATTTGTTTCCTCATTTGCTTTTTGACCCTTTTACTTTCATACTGGATGACAGTCTTACTGGAATAATCTTCCTTTCTGTATTTCCTTTCTCAAAGGGAAGAATCCAATTTTGTTTTATAGCAATATGCACTGGGTAGACCCTCTGCTTACACACCTACCACAAATACTTAGTTGTAGAAGGTTGAAAACTCACAGTGAAGTCCGCTGAAGTCTGAGTATTATTGCCCCGCCCCATTGCCTTCCCCAGGAGCTTCTAAAACATCATATTTGTTCTGTTGCTTCCTTTCCTTTCCTTGCTCTTTTCAATCATGTGTTGGTAGTCAAAGTTAAAAGCTTTATACACCAGACTGAATAATTATGTTTTAAAAAAACAGTAATTATCCATCCCGTACATGTCTTGTTCCACACAGCATTTTAAATTCATGTTAATGAGCTGCGTCTTCTAATGCAGAAGACCGACAAGCCGTTGCGAGGTTGTGCCGTCATTGCACAGCTCGTTCGTTGCTCACACTGCCTGCATTTTCCTGAGTAGTCTCTCCGGAGCTCCTGCTCGGCAGCATTCCAGAGATCCAGCACTGCCCACTCTGGTCGGAGCAGGACAAGAAACTACTAGTAGCTTATAAGCTTGATGAAGTTGCTTTATGAAGCATAACTTTTCCCCCTCACCGTCTGTCAGAAAAAGATCAAAGAGTATATGCAGCCACTTGTAATTTAAGCGGGAAGGATGATTTTGTCAGCTTCCTAGGTTGTTCTGAGGGACGCAGACCGCCGCTTCACATGATGGCAGATAGATTCAAACACAGAACTGGAGTTCACCCTGTTACGACACTGAAGCCGGGCCAGTGGCCTGTTCTGTACCCAACTCTCGTCGAGCCCTCTGGATGGCGTTCTTGACAGCTGCCCTACGTTGAACGTCTGAACTTTGGTAGACCATATTCCTTTTGCCCGTTTTCTCAGAAATCCTAGTTCCAGGCCAGGCCTGTACTCTGGTTTCTGTGGCTAGACTCAAAGGAGGTTTTTGATAGTGGCTAAATTATCTTTTCCTTATGATTTCAGGTTGAAGTCTTGGCCTCGGAGGATGCAGCCTTTGGACTCAAGGTGTGTGGTCTGATGCAGCTTATCATGTAGGTTTCATCAGTTCACCTCGGTGGGCTTGAAGGATCAACAGAGAGGACTTTTTTTTTTTTTTAATCAAATACTGAGGTTCTAAAATCTTCGGAAATTTAAGATTTCCCTTGTACTGTGATTGGGAGTAGACTGTTGTAGTATTTTCTTTATCTGCTTTCTTTACTGCAGAAGATATGAGAAATAGGGCAGGAAACCAAGTTTTGGATTAGCCATGGAGCAGGACTTGATGAAATTTCCACCAGTTTGGGGGTACTGAAATGTTATCAGAGTGCTGCATTAGTTCATAGCTCTAGCTTTATTAGTTGATTTATTCATCATTCCTTCTTTAAATATTTATTGAATCTCTGTGTTTTAGTCAGAAAGCCCTGGGTGGTGCAAACCATTAACTCTCTTGGCTGCTAACCCAAAGGTTGGAAGTTCAAGTCCACCTAGAGGAGCCTTGGAAGAAAGTCCTGGTAATCTACTTCTGAAACACCAGCCTTTGAAAACCCTGTGGAGCACAGTTCTACTCTGACACACATGGGATTGCCACGAGTCAGAATTGCGTTGATTTAACACAAGTGGATTAAAATCCAGCTCCTGCCCTTAAGGAGCACACAATCAGTTGGCAAAGATAAGCCTGTAAATTATCCTGCAGTACGGTAATGTCCATGCTAGAAACACACACAAGACCGTGGGAGCTGAGGGGCGTAGGAAGCATTCCAGGAGGTTGGTCCCTGGGCTAAGTTTTGAGGGTTTAGATTAACATTTAGGCAAGAGAGGTGAGCAGGAGAAATGAGAGCTATTTCAGGTAGGAGGTCAGCCATGAAAACAGTCAGAGGGAACTAGAAGTACAGGTTGTCCTTGAGTTAGGAAGACCCAAACTTACAGCCGTCTTTCTTTTTGTCCATCTTTTTTTTTGTTGTTTGTACTCCATGCAGTGCTGCAGCGCGTGATTTGTCCTTATTGTTGGTAATAGTACTCCATGCAGTGCTGCAGTGCATGATTTGTAATATTTCCAACCCCCAAAGACAAAGATCAGATTTATAAAAATGCTGGTAATAAAAGACAGTAATAAAGAAAAAATAATAATAACAAAGAGATATTTGATTTACGTCAGAACCAACATGACTGAGTCGTCAGAACAGAACTCCGTTATAAGTCAGGGACTACCTTTAGTTCACTTTTGTCTGCGTGGCGAGATCTGAGGTTGGAGAGGTTAAGGATTTAAATTTCATTCTACAGAAAATGGGAAGCTGTTAAAGGAGTTTAAGCCCAGTAGTGGTCAGGTTTGCGATTGAGACAGATGACTTTGGCCATTTGTAGGGAGCAGATTTGAGCGGGAGTAAGCCGGGGCAGTTGAGTAGACCAAGTGAAAGTTGGCAAGGGCCTGGACCGACTAGTGGTGACAGAGATTAAGAGGAAAGGAAGACTTTGGAAGAGAAGCCGGCCAGATGTGGTGATTGCTGGGGTCTGCAGGGGAGCGGGCGGGATGAGGATGAGACCAAGAAATACATGGTGCGCCACTGGAGATAAGAGAACACGGAGGGAGAGCTTGCAGATTTTTACAGAATTATAGCCATCCAGCCCTGTTTTCTTTATGACATCACTTGCCTTTTGCACTATTTGGTGGTTCTTTTTAAACAACATCAGTAAATTGGAAGAAGGCACTTACTGGAGAAGTCCAATTTCATTTTCATACCAAGGTATAGAGTAGGTGTCATCAGTCACTTTGAAAGCTTAGGTGAACAGGGAGGCTGGCAGAAACTTTACAGAGAGTACAGGGATATGAGGGTTTACTTTTATCAATACCTGTTTCCTAATGTGTGCTAATCTTTGACTTAAAACTAAAAATTGATTATAATTTTTCCAAATTTTTTTCTACTTTTCCATTCTATGTATTAAGACATTTTATAAACAGTAATATTTGTGCTATAATTACATGTGAGGTGGCATTGTAATACTACCCAAATCAAAACTATTCTGAGGTTATAAACTTTCCAAGATTTTACATCATATAAGTAAATATAAATTAAAAGAAACAAGATAAATGAACACTTTATAAATCTTCGATATACTAAGTCAAATTTATACCTTTATTTTTTTCATGTTTCTGTACCTGCCAAAAATCACTAAAATAAATTATTAAATGTAAATAGAGCAAATTTAGTATTATTTGCAATATTTAATATATGATCGTCTTCTGAATTTAGCGTTCTTTATTTCATGCCCAGCATGCGTATGGAATATTCACTGAATATTTAATAAACCTGGAGGGTCAGCTCTTGTGGGCTCATCTCCATAATCCTTCACACTTCCTGAGTGAACAGCAGTATCATGGGAGGTTAGCGTGGCCGGCAGCTCTCCCCGCCTGCCCCGCTGTGTAAAGGCTTTGTGTTTGTTTTATGCTTAAACTAGCAGATTGTTTTTGTAGCCTTAGATTCAATTTGTTGAAGGAACAGTTGGAAACTTTTTTCCAATAATTATGTGACTTTCAAAAGGTTAGATGCTTTTCACTTTGACAGGTCTGTACCAAAGTGTTTATACATATACAAAATTAAAAATGAGATTTTAGATTTTTTTTTCTGCTTCATTATCATGAAGATAGCAAATACTTTTTGCATTTAAAAAAAATTTGTGGTAAATATATATATAAGACAAATATATTTTTGAATTCCGAAAATTATCTTGTTTCTTGAAAGTTCTGGCTCCGTATTCAGCACTGGTCAGGTTTTGGAACACTTAATCACACACAGTTGGCCCTTTTTCAAGCCCACTGGAGTGTGTGAGCCCCCTTATGTCTCTGGTCTTTTAATGATCATCTTTAATGAGCCTTTGATCTTTCCTTACCTCCTTTGCCACTATCAGATTCTTGGCCATTTGTTTGCTTCCCCTTCTAAACCAAACTAAAGTCTACAACGTTCATACTTACAGTTGAAGCATGAACTCATCAGTCTTGTTGGAAAATGACTTTAACATGTTGGGACTCATAGATACAAACAACTTACTTTGGATATCGGTGTGGTGAAACTCTGAGCTAGGGAAGCAATTTGCAGTCATTAAAACTAGTCTAGAGGTGTCATGAGATTAATTCTTTTAATGCTAAGCTGATGGGAAATATTTTTGGTCTTTTTTCTGGTTCTCGAATCTGAATTTCACACCAGTACAGATTCATTGTTTTTCTAAGGCTTATCTCAAGTCAAACGGAGTTTACAATTTGAAATGCCAATCACTGTGTCACAGTGTTTTCCAGTGGGTCTAAACCTTTTCTCTGACTTTAGGTAAATTTGATTTTCTTGAGTTTGTTTCTATGCGGGTCTGGTAAGATACTTACCTTAGAGTTATGTGTCCTTATGAAACAAGACTTGTGAATACAAGAGGATTCAAAGTAAAAAGTGGACAAATACGTGTCTTTCTTTAAAAAAAGGAAGCAAAGTTCTACAAACCACAGACCACTGTTCTTGACTTCAGTTTTGATCAAGACTCAAAAATATTAAAAAGGTTATAATTCTATAGAAAAATAAATCAGGCATTCCAGAGGAGGCCAACATGGGTTAGTTCTTACCACAAGACGAGCGTGCCTTCTGTGTCATTAATGTACGAGATCGAGCTGCTAGTGGTAATGAGGTGATAAATCAGCCAAGCAAATATACGTAAATTTGTATTGTAAAACGTAGAAAAAGATTAAAAATTTGACTTTGTTGCTTATGAGATTTATAGTCAGGAGGTGAAAGCAAGAGGAGTGAGTAAAATATTCCTGGATTATTAAATCAAAAGACTATGTAAACATAACTTTTCCATGAGTTTCTAAGGAGGTTTTATCAAAATCTAAATAAATTACTTTAAAATTTCATGACAAGGAATGTCCTTTGCCTTCTCATTTGTTACAGATAACTAAGCCAAGAATTATAAAGAAGTAAGGTTTTTTATTTAATCCACTCCCCTATGAGATAGAAAACCAATAAAACAGAACTAGTTACCGTCAAGCCAATTTTGACTTGTGACAACCCCGTGTGTTGCAGAGTAGAACTGCTCTATAGGGTTTTCAAAGCTGTGACCTTTTGGAAGTATATCACCAGGATTTTCTTCTGAGGTACCTCTGGGGGGATTCAAACTGCCAACCTTTCAGTTAGTAGTCAGGCACTTAACCGTTTCACCACCCAGTTATTATCCCCATTATTAGATGAGGAAGTTGTAGCTCAGATGGTTTAAGTAGCGCACTCAAGTTCACACATGAATCATTGGCAGAACTGGGATGTGGGCGAGGAAGGGAACCCCACAGCCTATTCTGTTTTCTGAATACCCTAAGAAGTGATGAGGTGTGCACAGCTCCCTGCCTCTCCTTCCTCACATCCCATCTTCATCTTAGCCACCCTCCTCTCTGTCCCCACTCTCCCATCTTGCTGAGGTCCCTAATGACATCCCTGACCCTAAATCTGTTGGAACCCTTCAGTCCCAGCATTGTACCTTTTCTCTATATAGCATTTGACCTAGCTGACTGCTTCTTCCTAGGAGCACCATTCTTTTGACTTCTCCAGCATCACTTTGCTGGTTCTCCTCCTGTTAGTCTGCCTTTGGTTTCTTAGATTTCTCTCTGCTGCCATTCAGTGCACTTCCAGCAGGGCTCTGTCCTAGAGTCTCCTGTCTTCTCGTTGTGTCAGAAAACACACAAAGTTACACGTCCCTCTCCTACCCTAGGGCTTAGTCTTAAATATTTCGTTGAACGAATGCATATGCATAAAGCCACAGCTAAGATTAAAAAATATACCTATTTTAAAACATATTTCTGAGGTAAATTCTTAGTTCTTACTTGTTTTGACCATAATATAATTTAGTTACAGGTCTTTTTTTCTTTTAAGATTTTTCCTTTTGGAAAGTAGTGGATGGAAATATATGTTATATATCACCAGTTCATTTATTTTTCATACCTGCCTTCTAATTCTAAATGAGCATTAAAATTCCACAAACCCAAAACTATTTTGGTACACTCT